GGTAGCCTAGCGACAAGCGTCCATAGGAGAGGCTCTAATTTTGAGACTATCCTCAACTATGGAAGCAGCCACCCTGTAGCTCACAAAAGAAGCTGCGTCCGAACTCTGTTTTCACCGGGCCTACCGTTATTGTAACGGCAACGATCTCCTGAGCAAAGAGCTTGCTCACCTGTATCGGTTATTCCGCTCTAACGGATATCCGATCAGTTTTGTAAAGAACTGCCACAGGCACCAGGCACAGTCGCAGGACCCAACCCCCAACCGAGAGATCGTGACACGAAAATTCTACTCCTTGCAATATATGCATGGAACTTCTGAAATAATCGTCCGGCAGTTCAACCGCTTGGGTATTCACGTTGCCCACAAACCGGCATCTTTACTACGCGCGGCACTATCTCGAGTGAGAAATCCCATCCCCAAAGAGCAACAAACGAATGTAATTTATCGCATCACGTGCGCTAATTGCTCTTGCGTGTATGCTGGCCATACGGGTCGACGCCTGGGCACCCGTATCAATGAACACAAATTAGCTATCCGTCGGCGAGACCCCCTGTCCCTCGTCTTTGCCCATGCACTCGAGTACGACCAACGATTCAATTGGGATGGCACTGAGGTCGTCGCCATAGCTAACACAAAGCGAGCGAGGGAATTTCTCGAGGCTTGGTACTCCAATGCGGGTAGTATCAACCGCCACGTGGACTCAGATGCCCATTACAAGGGTCTATGCTCACGACTGACTGCCCCCTGCCCTTATCACGCATCAACGACCGCGAATACAGCCACCCGCAGTTCAACTGATTCACTACCCACCCTCTCCCTCAAGCACAGTGTGCCGTAGTTGTTCCGCCTCCCCTCCCTTCCCCCCTGCCTCACTCAGGGACCTAACATGACCTCGGCAGCCCCCCTCACACGTCAGTGGTCTGTCTGTCCTATCACATCAATTGGTCCACAATGACAACCTAACTTTCTCCCTTGTTTTCATTTCGTCTGACGACGGGTTGGTGTCACCAGCTCGAAAATTCACGAGTACAGCTCGACTTTTCCGAAGAACCTCTTCCATTTTTCATACATATATATGTACTCCCCTCCCCAGTACTTTGTTGTATGGCTGGTTTTAATAGGAGATTGTTAGCGTTATTTACCGGCTTAGTGCATAGTAATACCACCAACCGTATGGATGCCCGATTGTTGTCCCAGGCCGAAAAACGGCAGCGGAGGAAAACACGATCCGCCACGATATAATTTTTTGGAACCCACAAGTCGTCCTTATTGGAAAACCGTGTGCATTTATGGCGTCACGTTCAAACTACCTAGTATTCTGTCCAATCAGCTTCGAGATAGAAGTCCTAGTGGAGCGGAACAAATTCTTGCTGACATGGACTAATCTGGCTCTACAGAAGCGCTGAGGCCGCATCCACCGGCGACACGCCGTGACAACGTGCGTGTGTTCTCCAGTCAGACTGACTTTTTTGGAATGTAGTCATTCCCATCGGGTCGCAAAATGGGTTTCGCGCGAGCCTCGTAACGGGTCCGGAGGCGGAATGACTAATGAGTTTTCGGCACGCCTGCAACAACCCCACCCGTAAAACCCCTTTTCCCACCATCCCTGTATTCGAGGTAGTCTTGCACGAAAGCGCTGGGGGGAGGTGCATATACTCACATCCGGCCGAAATACGGTCCGCTGGGTTGGGGCAACATACTTCGACAAAACCTCGGAAAAGACCTCGTTATCACCAATGAAACCATCCTACATGACATTCTATAAAGACCAGAGTTCTGCGAAAAGAATATGACGAATAAAAATCACGGTTTGCATTCGCCTGCTATTCCGCAGCAGAATTGCATCCAGACACTGTTTAAAACGCCAAGAATACGCCCCTCGGGGGCCATTATAATGATGAAGTTGTAGAGACTCTCCTCCGGGCACCCTCTGTGTAATACTACGTCTCCGGTGTATGTTTACACGTACGCATTGACTGCAGTCGTTCTTCTGAGGTCCAGCATGGTGTTACCATAGCGTCTGGCCACTCCCTGAAACCAAGGGCTCTGTTTTTCGCCGAGGCCGAGGCAGAAATGTCCCCGCTAAAATCGTTCTGCAGCCTGCGCCGGTGGCGCCGGACACGCCTCTTGTCCAATTGTTCACTTTTACCAACCTATTCTTCATTCAACGGGCACCCAGCTCCTTTTCCTATTGTGGACTTGGCTCGAAGGTTGCAGAGGCTAGTCTGTCTGTGGCTTCAGCGGTAACGGCATTGAATGGTGATTGCAGTCGGTCCTGGGAAGTTTCAATACCATTCAAAACTACTTGACTACTCTTCAATTCTAGGTAGCAATCACGAACAAGCTGAAGACGTGTGACTGCGGGAAGGCGCCTGTCCGGGGTCGCAACATCACCGGCCACTAATGGGAACTAAGTCAGAAATGGCTATTCCGGAGTCCCTCATCCGTGTCCACGATAGATTTTGACTCATTTTCACAGAAAAGTAAAAGCATTCTAGACCACGATGCCTGTCCTTCCTTCGGCACCCAAAAGCAGGCTGACAAACGCGATGCTACATGAAAACCGCAAAAGTACCCAAGGTGATTGCTCTTAGCGGGGAGATTGAAGGGGTGCATTGTCCTCGAGACTACATTTAAATTACAAGACCGAATGAATTTCGTCTTCGCGAGTCCCTACTTATTTGACATAATCGCGTGTAAAATCCTTTTTGCAGACGCCAAAAATTCACAATGCCAGCAAGACAATCCTTCGCACGAAACAGCCTGTCATTCTTGTTGGCAAAAGGGAACAACGTTTAGCAGTCCTTCCACACGGACGTACCTTATCGGACGGCTGACACACAGCTAAAGCGCAATCGGGCAAGTACCAAGTTGGGGGCAATTTGGTCGCATAAAAATTCATGCGGCAAATGGCCTTCCGGTGAAAAAACTCCAGCGAGTCCCTGAAAAACCTATATCACCCCCATTTTACCAACGACAGGACATCAGGCCATGATCGAACTCTTGGTCGCTTGCCTCAAATCACCCATCATACAGCTTACTGCCCCTTGAAGTCGTTCAACTCACAAATGACAATATGGCGCCACATTGAACCATGAAATTGTTTGACCGCATTAATTATCTGATAAAGTTAAACAGCTTGGAGAGCTCGTCCATCGCTAGACTATTTTGAGCGGGGATACCATGCTGGCACGAACAGTCATCATCTGTTTTGTAGATTCGGCCTTTTTAACACAACCAGTTCACTCGCAAAGCACGCCCTTCCTGAAATTTTCGGTAAAGCGGGTTTATTTCAGAGAAATTAAGAAAATAACGCAGACGGCCACGTCTGATGTTGTGGAAGAGGATTTTGAGGGCGCGAGTTCCAATGGAGATTGGATCTACGGACGCCAGAAAAATTAACATTTCCTCACCAGCAATCCCTCCATAGCCACCGAAAGCCCTCATGTCTGAAACCTCATGAGTTGGACTTTTGCACTGTCACCATTTACATCCACGATCAAAGTAAGTTGAAATTCAACGAGAATTCCCGGTTGGCCACTGAAGAGTCTGCGCGAAATCTCTCGAAAATGCAGGCTTCCTTGGAATACATAGGAGGACTCCAGTGCCCTGCTCTAAGTGGGAATGGCAAGTGGGTCGGTGAATCTAAATTTTAGACTTTAACTCTCGATGGAATTTAAACAGCATCAGACCTCACGTTTGACAACAAAAAAAAACAGATTTAGTGCCCACGCCGCCGTAGGGCAGGAATAGGACCAGATTCCTTCTACGTTCGTCTGAAACTAAGACAGAAGTGGCTATTTCGGGGTCCCTCATTTTTGTCCACAATGGTTTTTTTAAAGTCCACTTTTCAGATTACGGCGTCTGCCCTTCCTTTGGTTGTAGAACCAGATTACTTCTACGTTCCTCTGAATAAAAATAGTAGCTCAACGAAGCGCGTACGTGGACGTAGAACTAAGCGAAACAAATGTCGCCGAGGAACCAATCGCCAAGCTCCGTAATACGAACTGTGGTTAGAGTAAGAGTAGTTAACAATGACGAACCAGAAGGGCACTCTTTAGGCTCCCAAAATATCACCTTCCATTACCAGTTTTTTACGGAGGCGTGATGGCTGGAACATGGCCGTTACTAGCCTGACGCTTAGGATTCTCACTCGACTCCATCCTCAGAGTCCGTTAAGAAAGCCCAGTATTGATAACATACGTCAGGTGAGCAAATAAATGAAAAGTAGGAGTGACGCTGCTGCTCCGAGGAAGATCACGGTGTTTTTGACGACTGACTTCGTTGAAGAATACTACGACTTTAACTGCAACGACGTCCGGACACGACTCATGGCAGCGTTGCAGTTAAAGGCCACTGTCCAGATGGTTCAGTCATACATCCCGTCTACCAGATGAAAAGCTAATTAGTGACATCCCTTCTCGAGTGGCCGGGCGAAGTAGACAGATGTAGGTAGATCGATTCTGGAAAGACTCACAAACTCGACTTTATTTGACGTTCGGGAAGAGGGTACCGGATGAACAAATATTGTTATGGACCCAGCCAATGATCGCTGTGAAAACGCAGTCTCGGGTCGTCCAAAACAGCAGCCACCAGAGGCAGAAGTGCATGGGATGTGATAGGAAAGGCAACTCTGTCATTGCAGTCGTCGCTTCTGGACTTTGTTAAACGAACGCGAGCCTAGCAACAAAGAAACAGACCCTGGCGGAATGAAATCTCCTGCTGACTGCTGTTCGCCATGCAACAATCATTCTGGATCACCATTGCTGCATCGAAATTGTTTTTTTTTCGCAAGAAGATATTGGTGTGCAGCAAAACATAATCTAGCGTGAGAAAGGTGCAAGCACAAGATGTGTTTGATGTGGTGGACCATCACAAGGACAGGGCCCCATCCAGCATGCAAAAGGGGAAGGAAGGTCACAGGAAAGTGGCATTTAGGGATGAAACAAAAAACAAAATCACAAGAGTCTCGGGCAAAAAAGACATAACATCCCGGAGTATTATATGATTGAGCACTTCCGCTTATTTTTGAAGGGGTCGTCTTTTGGCGCGTGAATCAGCTGATCAGCGTCTGCATGTTCAAAACAGTAATTCTTGATGTCGCTGATGGCCTCGCTTAACTTCAGTCGTTTCATGTCACAGCATGCCTTCAGCATTTGCACCTCGCTGCGTTTCAGCCCAATCTCCTCTTCCCTGGAGTTGACAGAGCCAAACGCGCTCATCTAAAAGACACATGACGACTTAGTGGGGAGGAGATAAACTGTGATGAATTATCCGGCAGTAAAATAGACACAATTTCCGGTAGATGACTTTTATTTGTCCGGCATGCGCGAGTGAAAAACGAGCGTAAACTTCAGACATTTGACTATCACAGGCCGAAGATCATCCTTCGAGTAAGGTACACCGACCTCTTCTTAAGTGAGACGGTCCGCACTCGCTGTAGCAGCATTGAGGTGATATCTCAGACCATCCAAGACACACGAATGAGGTGAATTGGAAACGTTCTCCGTTGTTCGCCTCACGGGTTCAGCGTCGCTGCCTTTGAAGCGTCGCTGTTTCTTCACCTGGAGGCGTCGACGGGAAGGTCAGTCCAAAACCTGGCTCGACATAGTTCGTCAACGTATGGAAATGGTTCTCCGACCTTCGGTATTCGGTTCCTGTCGATGGTGAAAATAATTGCCGAAGCTGTCCAGATCCACTGCCGCGGATTGTAACGCGTGAATAGGTATAACATGTGACATCATCATGGCCGGCTAGACTATGCGTAATTACAGGAGTGCCAAGTACAAGTAAGTAAAGCACATGCAACATCTGTGGGGAGGAATGACGCTAACGCATAGGCAACGAGATATTCAAAGGGACAAGGTCATACCGCGAGTTGCGAGCCATCTCAGTAAGGAAACCGATCATTTTACGTGAGGAATTTTTTCCCAGGAAACCTTCGAGTACCACTTTTGGCAGAATATGTGGGATTTTTGTGGAGTATGGAAGCACAAATAAGGTCTTCGCCTCTATGATAGGGTCTAAGCACTGAAATAACGGTTCCTGGGTTTCGCTCGAAAATTCTTGAAACCACATTTCCGACCTGTGGGTCGGTAGCAACAGCTACTGTGGACGCAATCTCCTAGACCAAAATAGATGTCAGGGTGCCTACAAAGTCCGCTGCACTAGGTTGTGTCGTCGGTTATCCATATGTTTCGCATTCTCCCCCTAAGGTTGGACATGCAGGAACCCAGTCATCATATAACAGGAAAGCTTTATAATCTCCTCTCGTCTTCATAGTGGCAAGAAAGAAAGAGCGAGTATAGAAGACGTGGCGAAAAGTGTCCAAGAAAAGGTTTATCAAGCTGACTACTGTGCGTGCACGCATGAAGACCGCTTTTCTGATAGACACTACCTTTCGTTAAAAACTCTTATCTGCCAGCTGCACCTTCAAGGCGTCCTGCTATAAACCACTATCCAAATTACTTCGTAAAATAAATTCTGAGGGTTCAAGATTCTGGTCCAAAAAGGTTTAGAGGAACTGGTAAAGGAGGCCATGGAACCCCGAAGGTATACGACGACCTTAGGACAGGAGTTCGTTTAGTAGTGGAGACTTCCAAAGCTGTTATGCGCCGAATTCTTTCCAAGGGAGCGTAAAAACCTTGCTGTCTGATATTCCTAATAAAAAGTCATTTTCTGTGTACAATCAGCCTTCAACATTGGAACATACACCAAAACGACTGTGAAAGTAAAAACAGAACAATGCAAAGTGCACGTCTACAATTCTCAGTGGCAGTGGCCTGCAGAATATGAGTGAGGCTTTGGTAGATGATAGACGGGCGTTCACCGACCAGGTTGAGGGAAGTGCTCGTCCCGTGGAGTCTTGGAGCTCAACCTAAAGCCCTTGCAGACAGTCGCACAGCGACTTACGAAGAAAACAAGGGGGATCGCGACAGCCATTTCTAGTTTATTAAATGACTAATGATTAGAGCGTTGGACTCACTAACGTTCAATAAGCAAAGGGCGAGGGTTTGAACCACAGGTCGTGCAAACCTGACGCTGGGTAAGGCTGACTGACGACGGTTAGTCGACCGGAAGCGGTTACCGATGTCTCCCTTATATTTGTCGGCGCTCTCCTTCCATATAAGTAGTATATGCATATGCATATATATGCGTATTGATGTATGTAAGCATGCATATAACGGTGTATTCCTGCAGCTGCAGGATCCTATATCAAGCTGGACTCCTAGCTAGAAATCAACTTAAGAGAAGCAACATCCTTCTCCTGTTTCCGAAGCATGGCTTGTAAAAGCAATAAGGCTTATACGGGGTCAGGACACTAAAAGCACTTGATTAAGCTACCTAGGTTGTGGGTAATAATCATATACCTATTGCACGACTGCAATATTACAGTAGTGCAATAGGCAATATATATTGCGACCACTTCCGAGTTCGACGGCTGGAACGTCAAAGACACCAATTCAAAGTACATAAAGTTTAAATGGAAACGTCACGCAATAGAAAAAAACAAACAAGCACACTCATATATAGCAGAAAACGGGGCAGCCCGTCCAAGAAACTTGGTACAAGCAGTAAGTAAATTGTTGTCTTTTACGCCAGAACTTGAGCTTAGTAAAACAAAATAAACTTTTTATTTTTCCGAGTTTTTCAAGAGTCAATGACCTATTGTCATGTCTCCCACTGTTGATTTCTTGCGAATCTCCCTTTTAATTTTCCAATCAAAGTCTGAGGCCCACTCGCGATTTCTGACATTACAACAGACTTGGCGGAGTTTACCGCGTATTTGCCTGTAATTGAGAGGAAACAATTTATGTTCTGCCAGTCCTGTTTCGTAAGGCAGATGACCCAGATTCGAAATCATCTTCGCGGCCCCAATCTTTATCTTTTCCAGCTGCTGATAATCTTTTTTGAACCACGGACGCCGGACGTGGACGGTTTGCTCTGGGTGAGACCTAACGACTGCGCTGTAGGTTTTTCCCAACAGTTCCTTACCGAACTGCAAAATCCTCACTTGTGCGCAAATAAGGCCTGCACAAGGCTTAAGCTACATCCAGACACTGTGAAGATAGTTTCAGCAAAGAGGTTTTCGGAACGTCAACGCCCTTATATTCGTCAACATTTGAAAGGTGCTGCCTATGAAGAAGCTGTCAGATTCTTAGAACGGAGTTTTAGAACCAACCACTTACGAACGTTAAAATTAAAGAGCCAACGAGTAGACCATCTGCTGGGTTGGTCGGAACTCCCTTGAAGTACGTATCTATTTGTTTCAGATCTGATAGCTCCCCAAAATTTAACATCGTCGGCAAACATGTTGGCACCGCAACTCAGGTTGTTAAAGCAATCGTTAATGTAAGCAAGGAAGAGTAACGGCCCTAAAACTAAGCTGTGGGAGACGGCACTTAGAACAAGACTAGGACTTGACTTTCAGGCATCTCCGTACATAAAATGCCTCGGAGTTTGAATTACAGAGACCTTAAACATTCTATGCAATGTTGTAAGGCGACTGAAGACGCAAATTCAATAGGTAAGACATCAAAAAAAATTGGAGTTTCCGATGAAGAAGGTTTCTCAAAAGTCTTCAACACAAATGTAAAGCCACACCTTGAATATGCAATCCAAGCATAGTGACCCTGGACGGAGCAGGGTTACAATCTACTCGACAGGGTTTATAGGCGAGCCACAAAGTTAGTAATTGGACAAGGTGCACTGACATACGAGACCCGTCTAAATAACCTTAATCTCTGTCGACTGAATTAAAGGCAGTTGCGAGGAGACTTGCTACGAAACCAGTGCGAACCTCAAAATCCTGTTGGATAATACAATAAGGGCCCACCACTATTTCAGGATGGAGAAGCCGTCAATCCATTTCATCACAAGGCCAACTCGGCTAGGAAGTGCTTGACACAGTTCGTTTATGGAAGTGGACATGATAATTCGGCGTAAAGTACATTTCGCTAGGGCAGTGACTGGGAAAGTTCCCAGGCCGATGCTGGTACTTCATGCGAAAAACCAGGTCCTTTGCCCCCAACGTTGGACAAAAATCAGTCTTACGTGGACGGACCATCATCCCAACGGTCAAATTTCTACACCATAAGATATGCGACTATCTGGAATTCTCTTCCAGGTTATATCCGGAAAAGTCGAACCCTAATGGAATTTAAAATAAAAACTAAGAAATTCCTTTCAAATAACAATACACATTTATTTTTGAATAAGATAGGACATTTTTCAAGTCAATTCTTTGATATTGAATTTGGTCCAAAAGGGCTCTGATGATGCCAGCCGATTGAAAAACACCGGAACATAACACTAAAAATAATCAAATTTATAAAAGATAGCATCATTGATAAACATAGAACAGATAATAATATTCTTCTATTTTCCTCCCTTTCTCGTTTTCATCAGCTATGTCACCTGACACTAAATATCCCTTATAAAGCTAATAGAAATATACCCTTCGATAAAACCCTGCATATTAGTCGTGCGTATGTCTATATTAAGGCCATATTAAACATATATAGAACTATATTAGCTCATAGTAAACAGTCGACCACTACTCCTATAATTTCACATTAACAAGAAAAATATGATACATGATTCAATAGTATTTAGACAGTTTTGATTGTGACTTACCATTGAATGCTTCTTACTCATGATATATATTCATCTTTTCCAGCTCTTAGTCCAGACAACGATGGTAAGCCTCCTGAAAAATACGTAGGAACTGTGCGACCGCCCCCTTACAGCTGGCCAGATAGACTGACAACCAGCAACTAGAGCACACCGAAATTTACCCAACAGGAAAATAATTTCAAGGTCAGGCCGATATCAAAGTTCTTCATTGCCATGAAGGACATATTATTCATGTCCCCGAAAACTACCAAACTGCAAACTTCAATTTTTATATTGTACATATCGTTATTTTTTGAAAATTTCGTTATTATTTTACCTTAGAACTGAGGTTTTTTTAACTTTAAACAAACCCTCAATTCGCGCTCTTTTGGCTAACCAGACACCCGAAGCAAATGAAGTCAAAGTGCAGTTGAAATTGACGAGTTTGTTTTAGGTTTTTTTCCTGAGTTTAAAGGGGACTGACAGTGCCCAAGGGGCGCTACAATAAACATATTCTATTCTATCCGCGCGAAGAATAATAGTGGCGAAACATTGTCGTTGCTTATGTGGGGTGACAAAATCTTACCCATCAGTTATAAGCTAAGAATCGCTATTGTGTATGTTCCAGAATTAACAAATGATGTATGGATACGCCAATGCCTCCCTAATGGATGGGGAAATTTTCACCATACAAAAAGCTTTCCGACTTTACAAAGTAGTGCAATGATGCAACTCGAAAATACCTC